GGCGTTGAAAGGCTGCTCCAACAGGCTGCATGCTTTAGGGCTATGACTGTAACACTCTGCTGTTGCCTTCATATTAAACAATTTTTGTGAATAATTTTTAAAAAATATTTCTTCGAATCATTATGCTGCTGCAAGTAGAGGTGACGTGGGCCGTGAGACTGAGACACAGACATCAGAGCCTCTTAATGTGTGTTTGTTTGGGTTTCCACCGGCGTGGAATTACCAAAAAGAGAGCATAGCCAAATATATGAAACAGGAAAATACCGCCGTGTTATCCATTTATTTCAACAAAGTAACTGTATTCTGAATACCACCTTTTTCAACTGTAACTGTAACAGAATAGAGTTACTCATATTTAGTATTTTAAATACGTAACGGCGGTACATATACTCTGTTACTCCCCAACACTGCCAAAATGCTTCTCTAGAACTTCGAGGCCCAATATGTCTTTGTGCGGGTGAAACCACAGGGTGATGACCGATGACATTATGGCATTATATTAAGAAAATCTCATGGTGGTGTCAGGAAGGTCAGAGTACTTCCTGAAGAGCTTCACAGCCAAACGACCGTCCTGTGAACCTCCACGTGGAGAGCAACAACAGTTCCCTTGTCATGATTCATTTATTAAAAAGAAAAATATTTCCCCTGCTGGTGTAAAAACCACTCAGGGCGGTCCTGACTGTGGAAGCCACCTGAGGAAGATCCTAGAACTCCCTCAGTAACCTCTCAGTGACCCGTTTTACATTCTCACGCATCCCTGCAGCTTCCTCACAGAGAGGTCAGCCCAAATCAAAATCACCATCTGCCCATACAGCAGCATCACCTCTCAGGTGAAGGGGCCCCCTCACAGTGAGATGTGAGCATGGGTAGACACGTTCTTCTGCACAGCCATGCTGTGGTTGGTGAAGTTCAGAAGAAAAGAACATAGCTCCTATACACAAAACTGCAGAACAAACTTATCTTTTGTTTATTGTTAGTAACCAGGTGAACAGACACTACTGCAGCTTTTCATGTTTCCTAAGCACGGCCAGCATCCTGTCTACAACCAGTTTCACGTGTTTCTCCTGCAAAAAGTCTGAACTGGTACCAAAAAGCCAGCAATGTAGGCTGGTTCTGATAAGGTACCAAGACCAAACTGGATCTGCACCACCACCGGGACCATGTCGGTGGAGAACTAGTATCAGACATCTCTGAGAAACTCAGATCACATCGATCTAGAACAGGGG